CATGAAAATACGTGATTCATTGTTGTGAAGGTTTCGAATCATGTAACCTACTAGACGTTGTGACTTAGAGGTCTGTTTCGATATGTGTTCTGTAAGCGATAAGTCTTGGGAGTATCTAAGTGCTAAGTCTACTACTGTATGTAACCTAGATAACACTTCTCCATGTATGGTAAGGTCTAGGTTAAGTGATGTATCACCGAAGCATATCCATCCACATTTAGCCATATTAAGTTCCAGTTGCCATTTTAAGCACCATTGTGCTACCTTGTTAAGCTCCAAGTTGATGCAATTTTACATATTTTCCAGTTTCTGTGGAGAAAATGAATATACTACTTTAAGATCATCTGCATATAGAAGGGGCTTACCTACACCAAAATCTCCACAAATGTCATTGATAAACGCTAAAAAGAGCAAAGGGCCTAAGACACTACCTTGTATTACACCACTTCTAACAGGGACAGCGTTAGACAATGAAGAGTTAATTTTAACTATTTGATGTCGATTACTGAGAAATGAATCAATCCAATCTAGCAAACGATTTTGAACCTCATAAGATGCAAGTTTGCCTATAAGAAGTTGGTGGCTAATCATGTCAAAGGCTTTAGAAATGTCTAGACTAGATATCCTCGGTTACGTAGAGAGTAGACTAAATTAAAGAAGTCAAAATGACATGTCATGCAAGATCGATTTTTGAGAAATCCTTGTTGAGTATCATTGATAAATTTTCCAGCGAGTAAATAGTTGGAAAGTTCATCACTTATAATTTTTTCCATAATCCTAGAGATAACTGGAGTAATATTTATTGGCCGATAATTGTTCATGTCAGTCTTATCTCCAGATTTATAACGTGGTATAATGTACGCTTTAGAAGCTTTCGCGCGGTCATGGAGCAGATGGGATTTCATCCTTTCTCTACAAATATGGTGGTCCAGATATTCCACTTCTTCTTCGAAAGCTGTCTACTCTCTCTATGGAATCAGGTTCTTACCCTTACTGTTGGAAAACCGCGTACATCATACCATGTTACAAATCTGGAGATAAGACTGACATGAACAATTATCGGCCAATAAATATTACTTCAGTTGTTTCCAGGATTATGGAAAAAATTATAAGTGATAGACTTTCCAACTGTTCACTGGCTGGAAAATTTATCAATGGTACTCAACATGGATTTCCTCAAAATCGATCTTGTATGACATGCCATTTTGACTTCTTTAATTTAGTCTACTCTCTACGTAACCGAGGATATCTAGTCTAGACATTTCTAAAGCCTTTGACATGATTAGCCACCAACTTCTTATAGGTAAACTCGCATCTTATGAGGTTCAAAATCGTTTGCTAGATTGGATTGATACATTTCTCAGTAATGGACATCAAATAGTTAAAATTAACTCTTCATTGTTTAACGCTGTCCCTGTTAGAAGTGGTGTAATACAAGGTAGTGTCTTAGGCCCTTTTATCATTTTAGTGTTTATTAATGACATTTGTGAAAATTTTTGTGTAGGTAAGCCCCTTCTATATGCAGATGATCTTAAAGTAGTATATTCATTTTCTCCACAGAAACTGGAAAATATGTAAAATTGCATCAACTTGGAGCTTAACAAGGTAGCACAATGGTGCTTAAAATGGCAACTGGAACTTAATATGGCTAAATGTGGATGGATATGCTTCGGTGATACATCACTTAACCTAGACCTTACCATACATGGAGAAGTGTTATCTAGGTTACATACAGTAGTAGACTTAGCACTTAGATACTCCCAAGACTTATCGCTTACAGAACAGATATCGAAACAGACCTCTAAGTCACAACGTCTAGTAGGTTACATGATTCGAAACCTTCACAACAATGAATCACGTATTTTCATGCACAAACTTTGCGTTCGACCTCTTCTAGAATATTGCACGTTTATTTTTAGTAGTGCGCGCATGACGGATAAATTAAGGCTGGAATTAATACAGAGACGATTTACATTTCGTATTCTCGGAGCTGATTGTACCTTAACTTATAATTCTAGATGTAAAAAACTAGAGCTAGACCCTTTATGGAAGAGGAGACTCAAACTAAATCTTATCTTTTTCTTCAAACTACTTAATAAACTATCCTTTACATCCAATCATGTAATTCAATACGCAGAAACTCCTCATTATGAAACCCGTAATTCCTTGGCACTGGTGAAACAAACTTATTCTAAATCATCTCTTTATATGAATTACTTTGCCTGTAAATTTTCTAGACTCTGGAATAACCTACCACAACATATCCGTACGATAAAATCACTCCGATTATTTGTTCGCTGCATCGATGCATATTGCTCCTCTGAAAATGCATTGAATGCTTTAGCACCGGTAAGTGTATCTCATTCCACGAGTGTTATTATAGGAACTTTAAATGTTTAGCCATCTTTATTAGTGTATTCCCTAAGCAAAACCACCTACTTGCTGTCACTTAATGTAAACACCGTCCCCAACAAGTTTAACTAACTTGAATAGCATCAACACTATAACACTGTGTCACATGACACACGCATTTTGATAGATCTGATTGATATATTTCGGTAATTACTGCTTTGTTGTTCCGTGCTCTCTGTTTTCGTTTTAATTTCTCTAGTTGTAGATAATTATCATTAATTCGATCTGGCACAGGAAATTGACCTTAATTACACCGTTCATAAATCAACAGACTGTCCAGTTAAGAAGTATTAAAAGTTCCAGGCTGATGCATTGGATCGCTGTAATACCTAAACAATTACTGAACTAGTAACCTTAAAACTCCTATCACATGTTTGTTCTGTACATATAATGATATTATTTATACCATATTGATCATGCCTGTAAACAGGCGTGAAGTCTGTAATTATTGTTTTTTCAGAATATAAATTATTATATGCAAGTTATAACACATGCAATCAGTAGTACTAACCTCAATGGTAGTATCGCGTCTTCATTGTGTTGTTGGGTTCGAATCTCGCGGAGGTGGGGGGCGGGATTGTGGATGCGCATTGCTGAGGAGTCACACAAGAGGACGAAACAGCTGTCCAGTGCTTCCAGGTTTTCCATAGTGGTCTAGCTTCAATTGACTCATGATTTCAACCATTGAAATTAATTATGCATCATTTGATAAAAGGTATCAATAAGATCTCATTTACTTATATAAGTAAGAGGAATAAAATACAATTATTTATAATAATTATATTTAATTAAATCACAAATAATAGGATGAAGTTAATTTGATAGATGTATACTGGGAAAAAAAATAAACAAACAGATGAACTACTACTACTACTAGTAGTATTGAGTAGTAGTTGAGAATGAAAGACAAATTGAAAACGGTTAAAGTTTATTAGAGCTTAACTGTTAAGGTATTGTTTATAAAAGAGAATCATTTGTTTATTATATCGAAGGAATGAAGCTTTTCTTTTGTAAAAAGAATCCGTCTTGATAGAATATTTTTCATTTTCATATGTAATTGATTATCAGGATTCCTAGCTGAAGAGAAAATAAAATTGATTACAATTTAACGATGAAATATAAATGAGAAGTTTAAAAAACAAGATTATTCGATATATGTATACGTAATATGAGGTTGGTTAGTATCGCGGAGAAAAGTGAAGATAGCCAGACAATTGATTAAATACTCATTAACCCTTACAGTATAAGTAGTTATTATGATTATCAAGCAACTGATGTGAAGTAGAATGTATACTTCCTGGATGAAATCCTCTATGGAACAGTTTCTTTCTCATTCATTAATCTGGATATACTACATATAAAACGATAACTATTGATTATTTAAACACAAATGCTTATCTTTTTTCACATGGTGTACATTTAGTCTGCTAAATGCTATGGTTAGACCAAGGGTGGGAAGCGTCCTCTCTCCCTCCCTAAATGCTCTCACATAGCCAAGCGTACGTACATACTATTACATACCTATTACCAAAGACTTCCTACTTACTATCTTCCCGAAGCAAGAGTGTTGTTTACGAAATTGAGAGGAGAAAAAGCCAATGTTTAATGGGGACTTAAACCGGGTTGATGGGTAAGAAGGATCGATCTAGGAGTTGGAAAATCTTGATTCCAGACCAATGATACACATGGACTCCAGGACCATGTAAGAACGAATGGTGTATGAACCTATTCTTCATCACCGACTACCATGGTACCGCACCTACTAACGTTGGTCCACTGTCTTGTGGAGGAGACCTCTAGGTCAAAGGCTAGATCGTTGGTGGCCCCCTGAGAAAACCACCTGCCTCGGTTTGAGCACCTGGGCATTATCCCAGCTCATACGCAAATTTAGTGATAATTACTTTGTGTGGTGCATATATATTTTGGTACCTCACTGTATCAATGTTTATGTATTTAAACACATCATTTCTGTTTAGGATATCAATGAACGATAAAATAGAATTTATTCATACTGAGTTTCATCATTATCTTATTTGAATAGCAGTATTAATTATTGACCAGGTACTTGAAGATGAACCACACTCTAAATATAAAGGTTAACGACAATACAACCTGGTTAGGCGAACCGAAGTAGGTGGAGAGGAGTTTAAAGTCGAACGCCTTAATCGCTAAGTCACCACTCTACGACAGTACGATAAAATAAAACTAAGAGAACAGTTCAAGTTTATGATAGAGATGAAAATCTACATTATGGTCGTATATTAGAAACTGATATAATGAAATTTACATTGAAATAAAAAAATAATAATAAAACTTACCATTTTTTAAAATGAAACTAGATGAGACCTACGGTTGTTATTGTTTTCTCTGAGTTGAGAGGGTGTTGTTTGATTGGTCTGTATACACCATAGATTGAGACTCATTCATTGAATAATTTGGAACTATATTGGTAAAAGAAAAGAAAGAGATGGATGAGGATGATGAAAGGGGGGGGAGGGAACGGAAGAAAGTGATTTTTAAAACATACACGTATACTCTTTATGCTTACCTCCATAATTGTTACTACCAGACGAATATGATTGCATTTGTTGTGTAATAACATCGGGAGGTACTATTTGATTTGATCCATAAAACTGCTGTACAGGAAAGGGTTGAGATGATGCTTGACCACTATGAAGATTTTGAGGAAGATTACCACCGAAATTTTCTGTTTGTGGATTTGCATAAATTCCAGTTGACATAGGATAAGAGTCAGTAGGAGGGAACATCACAGTTCCATTCAAATCTGTTGGCATAGTGAATCCATTCTAAAAGATAATATGTGAAAAATGTTCTATCATTCAACTGAGTTAATCATGGAAGAATTCAACATAGAATAACGTGCTTTGAATAAAAACCACCGAGTTCTCTTTAAAGATTGAAGAGACGTTCAATCATGGGGGTTGCAAAACTATAGAAGAAACAATGCTGAGCAAGACCTGGATGAAGATAATCGTTTATTAAATTAAATGAACATGACGATTATGACATAACATCAAGGAAACTACTGTTAGAAGTGCAGTTTATTGCCAAGTTGTACCCGACTCGAGTATCAGACATGGTTGTATTGACTAAATATTTACTCTTCACCAGGTTTTGGAACACAGATTCGACTCTGTTAACCTCGATGTTCTAAGGCACTATTATTAAAAGCTGTACCAAAGACTTTTTCAAGTCTCCTAGATGGATCCTCCTTACCCACCAACCCGGTTTAAGCCCCCATTGGACACTGGCTTTTTTTCTTCTCAATTTCGTAAGAAACTCTCCTGTTGTGAGAAGCCAGCGAGTAGGGCATGTATGTACGCGTGACTATGTGAGCATTCTGAGAGGGAGAGCGGATCATTCACACCCTCAACTGTACCAGAGGATTTGGTGAAGTCGCGACTCCAGTTCGTCGATCTTTCTCGAATAAAACGGAACCTCTACAAAAACTAGTATTCAGTGGGATGATTTTGAAGATCATTGATAGATGTAGCCATCAGTTATGTAAATAAATTCCCAATGAAAATAATACAATTTGTAGGTCAACACTCATGACAACAAAAAGAAACATATTTTTATCGCTCAACTGATTCTATAGCACTAAAATTGAACAAGTGAATTATAGACCAAGGTGATCACGTAATAATAATAATAAATAGTACATACATACCATAGGTACTGCAGATGCAGATTTAGTCATCGACGATGTTGGCTGAGTGTATGGATATATATTTGGTGGTAAGTAAGGAATTGTTGGATTTATTGGGTTGGTCGTGGTGTTAGCGATAGTATTGGACATTCCGGTATAATAAGCATTTGATGGATTCTGACGTGACATGATATCATGATACAATTGAAATGCATCTAATAAACGTTGATTTAATTCTGTAAGCATAATAATTTCTTTATCAACTAATTTTAATTCAGGATCAACAAGTGGGACCATTGCTACACATTCTGCTTCAAGTTGACTTAATTCTGGTGGATCTTGTTGAAATTCACCAGTAGGATCTACAGTTGTAATTAAACGTAAACATTCATCGATTTTTTTCTCATCAAGTTGGGGGACAATTTTCTTGGTAGGTTGGTTTTTTTTAACATCTGTATTGTGAGAAGCTTCGCTTGAACCTGATTCGACATTATTTACTCCATCAAGTTCAATTTCACGTTTGACAAATTGAGCAGGAAATAAACCTTGACCTTGATTATTGCTTCCAAGCCACCAGTTCTCATCGGAATCATCTAAGAGTAGGATAAGCTCTCCAGCTTTAAATGATAATTCATTGTCTTCAGCTGCTTCAAAGTCGTACAGTGCTCTTACCTGTCCCTTTGAATTGCGAGGAGCAGTTGTTTTAGAGGCATTTGATGATGATGATGCTGGTGTTGAATAAGTTGAAAGTGAACTAAATGGAAGTTGAGAGCAGGAAGGATATAAACTAGACTTCTCATTTGAAGTGGAAACAGATTGTTTGTTTAGATGGGATGGCGTCGAACTGTTAGTATCTTTCAGTGATAAAGCAATAGCTGTGAGAGAAAATGAAAGAATAAATAGAGATACGTAAAACTGGGATTAAAAAATTAACAATATATCTATTTCTGACAAAAGATCATTGTTTGCAAAACATGTAGTGTACATCATATAATCAAACTGAGCATTAGCGTTGATCACTTTTAAATTAACATTTTTCTTCAGATCTAAATCTTTGGAATGTGGGTTGAAAATACTGAGTGGATAGGTATGTGGACGAAGGAATACTTGAATTCAAGGAAGATACTATTTGGGTTGTCAGTCAGCTACAACGTAGGACCAGGCACATATGCATCGGTTCGAATTGTCAAACCTCATTAGCACAGCAAGATAAAAACAAGATTTATAGGAGTAATTAAGTCAATAGTGGTAATATATAAAAGAAAGATTGCATATAAGGATATGCCCCTAAATGCCCTGGTATGGCCGAGAGTGGGGAGAGTCCGCTCCTCCTCTCGAAATGCTCTCACATGGCCACGCGTATACAGCCCCTGCCAGGGAAGTCCTACTCACTGCCTTCTCGCACCACGGGTGTTGTTTACGAAAATGAGAGGACGAAAAGCGAATGTCCGGCGCTATAACCGGACCCCAAATCAATGGTGCACATGCGCTCCAGTATCCTGCGGGAACAAATGGCGTATGAACCAATCGTTGGTCACCGGCTGGCTACCATGGGACTGCATTTTCTCACGATGCTCCACTGCCTTGTGGATCAGATCTTCAGGTCAAAGGCTCGGGGTGTGACCCCTAAGAAAACCACCTGCTTCGGTTTGGGCACCCGGGCAGTATCACAGCCCTCACACATATCAAATGAGATCTGTGTGGCGCATATGTATTCGGTGCTTTCTTGTACCGATATCTATGTGTTAAAATAAATAAATAATAATAATATATAAGGATATAGTACAGGAAGAAAGAATTAGTTGGTAGAAAGAAATATATGAAGCGATTTTAATCTCATAGTTTAAGGGAAGACAGAGAGTGTATACACCGACGCCATTGTGATCGATTCTGAGCCATGTCACCAATAGTCTCCAACCATTAGTTACGATAGTCACGCGGACCACAACCAAGTAGTACACATCTACCAACATGACTCAGTTTAGAAGTTGATGACTTCAAGGACTGATGCCACATTGTGCTTTGGCCACCCCTAACTTTCTTCCAACCATCTCTAACACTTATCAGTACTGCGCGTCGCGCTGATCGGTGTTCAGGCATTCGCAACACGTGGCTCAATCATCTCAGTCGATGAAGATTCACAACCTCATCAATTGATTTACCATCATTCCCTAATACTCGGCGTCTAACTTCACTATTATTTACCCGGTGTTATAACGGAGTGAATATTGAAGACACTGAAACTAATTTGCGGATTATCATTCACATTTTTATTGCATAATAATTAGATAACTGTGTTATTGCCTTCTATAATAAAATTATTGTAAGCTATTCATGGATCTATTAATTGTCGTTGTACATTTTACTATTCCTTAGTTATAGTTGATTATTGACCTGACTTTTTCTTACTTTCACTTTTGATATAGTTATGCCTGTGCTGTAATTTATCATTCATGTTGATGTGCAGATCAGAAGATAATTCCATACTATCGTAATGAAAGATTAATATAAGATATACATTTGCCTTATTGTATGTTATATTTAACTATCAAACTGAAAACTCGACTAGAAGAAGGGTATACGTTCTAAAACTTATATAACTTTAGACTATCTCATCAGTGATCAAGGTTAACTCATAATAGACTAGGCGTTTATTATTTATCTAGTTAAGCAAGTAATCGATAGATGAAGTAGCATACTTGAACCCAAATTATTGAGCAGAATAACAATCTGTAACTTAATCGTTTTCTTGTGTTGATAAGCTTTGAACATTTCTACACATGTACAAAGATAAAGCTACATAAAGTTTATTGTAAATGGGATATTCAAATGAAGTTTATAATATAAAAGTTATTTACCTTGTGCTAAATCTTCTTCTTCTTTAGCCTGTAGTTGTGCAACATGTTGGCGTGAATGACCATGTTTAACTATCTGTTAAAATAAAATACTAGGAGAGATAATTATTATGTCGTATACTTCAATGACAAATAAAGTAATTGGTATGATGAAGACATGCGTTACAATACACAATGGATTGTTTCTATTCATAACAGGATGAATATTGGAAAAATAAGAACTTTCAAGGTTATTTCTCGAATTATTTACATTTTTGTTGCGTAATTAGTTGATAAATTTATCATCGTATCTTTATATTTCTTGTATTTTAAACTTTCAGTGCACCTAGCAACTGTCATAATACATTTTTTTATTCTTTAATTATTGCTAATTATTTACTTTTTGCTCCACCCTCTATTACTTTTGAGTATGATTGTGATTAAAGTGTGATTTCTTATTTTGTGTGCTATGTAGTCAAGCTCTTCAGGTAGATAATTGTGTGCTTTGAGTCATAATTGAATTGAATAAAATAAAAATCTAATCTATCTCTTATTCACGTATTCTGATTGACAACTGACTTGGGAGGAGCTCGAGGACTAATAAACGTTAAGGTATTGATGTTGTTCATTGGTCAATTAGTAAATAGGTCACCGGTTCTATCGGCAATATATTTGAACTAATCGATAGTTTGAATCTTGGTTTTTGAGAATATAGCAAGTGATACCAATTAGTATTTGGAGCCATAAAAATTAGCAGTTACAAGACATAACAGTTTCCATAACTGGAACTTAAAAATAGCATCGACAATATCCGATCATATTATTATTACAAGTTCATGATATTTTGTTGACAGTTATTAACTAACATTAAACACAGATGGTTAGGATACGCAGTCAGGTAACGCTTTTCTACATTCACTTGTTCGTAGCTTGAACGACTAATTACAGACGTAGGGGAAATGCACAACTGAGTATTCATAAGATTTCTTAAAAAGATACCTTATACTAGTGATGAAAGTAAAATGAATATAACGTTACATTTACGATTAGGTACCTGCAAAAACATTTGAATACCTTCATTATTCAATGATTATGTTTTACAAAGAGTAGGAAAAGTGTGGGCCACTGTGCCATACATTTACCTTGGGATAAATATTTGAATATTTTAAATGTTAGTAAAAACCTGATCAACTTTTGAACATTCATTAAGATCCTAGTGAGTAAAGTTATCTATATTCACTAAATGATCTTATCTATAACTGTTACACTAGACAGTGATTTAGGTTAGTCGCCAGACAATATTCTTTAGTTTTCAAGGTGAGAAATGTATCTTAGACATGCTTATATTGTTATTTAAGGTATTGAAATTTCAGAATTTTGTTAGAGCTTATACCTAATAGTAGGTACGTTTATGAACTTTTGATAGGCTGCAATGATTTAGTGCTAAAAAGCAGTTCACAAAAAGTTGAAAGGAGACTGTCATTTGTAGTAGATCAATAAAGAAAGTAAATATTAACTGATGGTAGGTCTCTTTAGTCAGTAAGTCAGTGTAAACCCTGGGACAAATATACGCCAGCTCAATTTGCCATATCAAATTTAGTGAACACAACCTGAGATAACCACTTACGACAATAATTCACTATTGAACTTTACAGAAACGTACTTAAAATCAGTCTCAGTCAATCAGCTGCAACGTAGGACCAGGCACATATATGCATCGGTCCAAGTTGCTAAACCTCATAAGCACAAGATGAACACCGGATTCATATTAGTTAAGTCAATGATGGTAATATATAAAAGAAAGATTGCATATAAGGATATGGTACAGGAAGAAAGATTTAGTACGTATAAAGAAAGATATGAAGCGATTTTAATGTCTTAGTTTAAGGGAAGACAGAGCGTGTACACACCGACACCATTGTGATCGATTCTGAGTCATGTCATCCAGTGTCTCTAATAATTGATTACGATAGTCACGCGGACCCCCAATCAAATAGTCTTTATATATATATATATATATATATATATATATATATATATATATATGCAGCAATTGTTCGAAAGCTACAAGATACTTGTTTAGATGTAGAGAAAAACAAAATAAAACACATAACAACCGAGATATTACTAAAATAGCTGTCTATAAACATGACATTACAGGAACAGTCAGTCAGCTAAAACAAAGTAGGACTAGGCATCTATATGCATCGGTCCAAGTTCCCTTACCTCACTCATTAGCACAACAAGATGAACAACATCGGATTCACAGAAGTAGTCACTTCAAAAGTAGTAATATATAAAAGAAAGATATGAAGCAATGTTAATCTAACAGATACATTCTCTTAACTAACCTGTTTTTCATCCATTGCTTGTTTCACAAGATCTGGATATTCAGTTTTAACCCAATTATAAAAACTAGCTGCTAAACTGAAATTCAAAAAGAAAGAAAAAATCTATTAAAATCAATCATAAAAGGAACATACGCTAATTCAGAATCATTTTTAAATTCATCTGACCATTTTTCAAATATTTCAATTAATTTAATAGATGGTATACGTTGTAAACTCTATAAACGATTAGCTTGAACTAAATAAAATGACTTACTGAAAAATTCTTTTTAATTAATTGTGAAAAATCTTTAGAAGCTAATTCTCTATTAAATTGTTTACCACAATTTTTACTGCATGCATCTAATAACTTTTTTGGGGGGGGGGGAGGAGGGAGAGGAAAAGGGGAATCATCTGTATAAAACATTATATTTTACCTACTGTTATAGATCGTATAGAAACATTTGGATTTTTATGAAATATTCTTTTACATATTGCTTGAATACAAATTGCTGGCCTGTGTAACTAGACAATTGAAATAATAGTTCTTACTCTTGTCTAGCGTATTTTTCACAAATTTCTAAAATTAAATCCCAATTATCTTGTGTATTTTTTTCTGATGTACACTTCTCTGTTTTAAAGAGAGCAAAAAAGATAAGTATTAAGGAAATTTGAAGGTATTAATTGCAATTAACACTAACTGGTTGTACAGAAGAACTTACATGTGTATTAAATTTTTAAAGATAAGGTAGAGGATAGTTTTAAGAAGTGTTTCCATGAATGCCCTGGTATGGCCAAGAGTGGGAGAGTTCGCTATTCCTCTCCAAATGCTCTCACATGGCCACGCGTATATATAGCCTCTGTCAGGGAAGTCCTACTCAATGCCTTCCCACACCACGAGTGTTGTTTATGAAATTGAGAGGATGAAAAGTGAATGTCGCCAGGGGATTTAACTGGGTTGGTGGACATGGAGAGTCCACCTAGGGGAGTTGGAAAACCCTCATTCCAAACTAATGGTGAACATGGGCTCCAGTATCCTGAGGGAACAAATGGTGTATGAACTAATCGTCTGTCACAGGCTACCATGGGACTGCATCTCCTTACGATACTCCACTGCCTTGCGGATCAGATCTTTAGGTCAAAGTCTCTGGGTGTGGCCCCCTAAGAAAACCAATTACTTCGGTTTGGGAACCCGAGCAATATCACAGCCACCCAATAGGGGAATACAAGCCCCCAGTAATATGAATTAGGCAACAAACACGAGAGATATTTCCATCGGATCTGTTTATTAATTGCATCGACTGCTATTTTTGGACAGGGATATATGTCTAGCATCCTGTGATCAGAGTAATTGTCCCAAGATGCAATGTATTCTAAACAGTCAAGTCGGTGGTGAACGTACAAACTGTTTACAAGACAGTAGATTGTTAGAAAATATACTGGTTTGTGATTATAGTCATAACTATCGGTGCAGAAAATCTATTAGAACCGGGCAATTACTCGTTTGTTTAAGTTAAAACTGAGGAAAATGTGAACTTGATGACAGACACGCCAGCTGTAGTGGAAGGACTAGTGACTGCTACAATGGTGTTTTCGGAGTATGTTTAGAAGAATTACTACGGAAGTCCTCGATGTTCAGGTGTCAGCAAAATAGATGGAACTCATGTATTATTGCTTATTATTTAAGTGCACAAACATCGGTACAAGGATGTGCTAAATAAATATGCGGCATACTTTGTCATTTGATTTTTGTGAGGGCTGGGATACTGCCCAAACGCCCAGACTGAGGCAAGTGGTTTTCTCACGGGCTCACCACTCGAGCCTTTAACCTGAAGGTCTAATTCACAAGATAGTGGACCAATATTAGCAGATGCAGTATCATGGTAGTCGTCAGAGATCAGGAATAGGTTTATACACTATTTTTCCCTCATGATCCCGGAGCACATGTGCATCATTGGCCCGAATTCAAGGTTTTACAACTCACCGAGATCGGTCCTCCGAACCCACCAACCCGGTTTAAGTCAACATTGGACATTGGCGTTTTTTCCTCTCAATTTCGTAGACAGCATTCCTGACGCGAGGAGACAGTGAGCAGTCAGTCAGTCAGCTGCAACGTAGGACCAGGCACGTATATGCATCGGTCCAAGTTGCCATACCGCATTAGCACAACAAGATGAACACCGGATTTATAGAAGTAGTTAATTCAGTGGTGGTAATATATAGAAGAAAGAGTGTGTATAAGCAGATAGTACAGGAAGAAAGAATTAGTTCGTTGAAAGAAAGGTTTGAAGTGATTTTAATCTCTTAGTTTAAAGGAAGATAGAGAGTGAATACACCGACGCCATTGTGATCGATTCTGAGCCATGTCACCAAGAGTCTCCAACCATTGGTTACGATAGTCACGCGGACCCCAACCAGGTAGTCTGCATCTACCAACATGGCTCAGACCAGAAGTTAGTGACTTCAAGCACTGATGCCACGTTTTGGTTTGGCCGCCCCTAACTTTCTTCCAGTCATCCCTAACACCGGTTACCATTGCGCGTCGCGGTAATCGGTGTTCAGGCATACGCAGCACGTGACCCAACCATCTCAGTCGATGAAGGTTCATAACCTCATCAACTGATTTACCATCATTTCCTAATACCCTGCGTCTAACCTCACTATTACTTACCCGGTGATCCCAGCAGATACCCGCAATATTTCTAAGGCACCTGTGGTCAAATACTAGTAACTTACGAATATCTTCTACTCTTAAAGGCCAAGTTTCGCAGCCGTATAGTAGAACGGAACGAACTGCCGCGCAGTATACTCGTCCCTTAATTGATAGACGGATATCTCGCCTTCGCCATAGATGACGTAAGTTGGCAAAGGCCAAACGAGCTTTTCGAATCCGTGCTGAGATTTCTTCAGACACCAACCCATTAGGGCTGATCAGACTTCCAAGATAAGTGAAGTTGTCGACGCGTTCGACTACTTCACCCCCTATCCTTAGTTCAGGTGTTGACGCAGACCAGTCCTGAAGCAACAACTTGCATTTGGAGGGAGAGAAGCGCGTCCCAAACATTCTGGTATTGTTGCTCAGTGCTACCAAAAGACTCTGCATTTCATCAGCGTCTTCACCAAACAGGACTATGTCATCTGCGTATTCTAAGTCAATAAGTGGACCTCCTGGTAGGAGATCAATACCTGAGAATTCAGTCGATGAAAGCGTTATTTCCATCAGTAGATCTATGATGAAGTTGAACAAAAATGGAGAAAGTGGACAGCCTTGGCGGACGCCACTTGAGGTTGCGAAAGCAGATGACAGTTCGCCATAAGCTCTCACTCGACTAGTAGTGTTCGAGTAAAGAGCTTTCACAAGGTTTATGTACTTCTGAGGTACGCCTTTCAATGACAGACACTGCCACAGAACCTCTCGGTTAACAGAGTCAAACGTTGCTTTTAAATCAAGGAAGACCACTATTGTCGGACGCCGATAAGTATGCCTGTGTTCTAGAACCTGACGAATGGTGAATATGTGGTCGATGCAGCCACGACCAGGTCTGAAGCCAGCCTGATTTTCACGTGTTTGTAGTTCACGAGTCTTAGTTAGGCGTCCGAAAATTATCGAAGCTAGTATTTTAGATACTATATTAGTCAAACTAATCCCTCTGTGGTTGTCACAGGATGATTTTGACCCTTTCTTAAATATTGGGACGATAAGTGATTGTGACCAGTTAGATGGGATAACGTCTAACTCCCAGATTTTAGCTAAAATATTAGTCAACCTAATCGCTAAAACTAGACCACCATCCTTAAAGACCTCTGGGGCCAATCCGTCTGGACCAGCTGCCCTGCCTCGTTTCAGATTAGCTATAGCCTTTTGAACTTCAGCTAGAGTTGGGGGACCTACTTCAATGTTCCATTCATACTGTCTGGGAAGAGGGTAGTTGTAGAGTAGCTGAAGGCCAACTGAACTGCTCCTTAAAATGTTCCGCCCATCGTTCTAAACGTCTGGACTGGGAGTAGATGAGAGTGTCGTCTTTTTCCGAAATAGTCTGACTTACACTTGATTTATTAATTCCAGTTTCTTTTATTAGTCTGTAGAGTTGTCTTGTGTTCCCTATAGCCGCCGCCTTTTCCATCTCTTTTGCAGGACTTCCTTGACAATGGCTATGTACGTGTAGTCGTGTGAGAGCATTTGGAAAGCACTCTTCACACCCTCGGCCGTATCAGAGCATTCGGGGGAGAAGAAAGTATGATAGAAGAAATTAAAAGACTGGGAAGATTTAAAGTCACACGGCCGAGACTTTGGTCTAACTAACTCAAAAATGGTCAGAAACTATGATATATACCGATGACTGGTGAGCCTCCAAGAGCCCTCAAAGGTCTGGATACGATCATAAGACGGTTGTTCTCAAGTAGTGCTTCGTGGACCCCACTACAGGAGGTTACACTCATGATGGTGAAGATTTGTATGACTGTTTAAGGGAATCTTGAGACCGTATTAAGGATCCCAAGGAAAAGTATAAGGAAGCCATATGAGGAGTCCTTGTTCAGAATGTTTTTTTGGTTTTAAACCAGATCCTATTAGGATTTGGGCTAAGATATCCTAAAACATAAGCACACCCGTCGATGCTCCACGCCAGGTCCTGAAGTTTTACAGGTAAAGGCGAACTATACACTCAGACGACCCGAAAACTTTAGCACGTTCTAACCAATACGACGGGGAATAAGTGACTCATAGTACAGAACAAGAGGTTTTAGAGGATACGTTAATTTAACACCAACAACGAACATTCATAAGTTTATAACCTTTTGCCGTGCTTTATTTATTTATTTGGACACATAAATATTAGTACAAAGGGCCACCGAATATATATGCCTCACGCAAATCACTTGATTTGTATGTACGAGCTCTATCCATTTTTCTGACACCTCCGAATGTAACAGACTCACCTAGTAGTTTTCCCGAACAAATTTCCCTACGATATTCGTACGATTTTACGACCACAGTTGCAAATCAGTGTACTTCCTAATAACGAATTGCCTTACAAATAGTTTGGGGTAAAAATATTTTTGTTACAAGCAGACCGTAATTTTAAGACGATTCCAAATTTACCATAGAATCAACTGTATGGCCTATTCTTAGTGGTATTTCATACGAGTGATATCACCGATTACTTAAGCATAAATTTCTAGTACAGAAATGTCAGTATACTGAGTTTTTACATTAACTGGCTATTTGTATACATTAACTCGATGGTTGGAAAGTTCCAAGCCTACGAAGATTAAAGGTGCATATGTCCATAATAGTGTAATGTATGATTAACTATTGATCTTATTTTGATCACTCAGCATTTGAACACAATAATAATCATATTCACGGATCAGACCAACCAAACAAGATGCAACTCATAAATATATGTGGATAGATAAATAAAAGACATATATACATATACAGAACATGCATTAATAATGCCCGATGATACATTAAGTAAATTCCGATAAATGCAAACAAACCAATTAACGCCTTCATTCCCTACTACCGAATACCGCGGCAAAATACTTCCTCTAAGCTTAAGTGCCACAATATTCAATATACAATATTGTAATCGGCGTCTTTTCTAGAACATTTCTAAAAGAAATAGAAGAAAATGTATCATTGGCTTGATAAATTACAATGGTATGCTATATAAATATATATTATGATTCCACAGAAATTAACAGCAAACGAACGCAAGTTTTTGAATGAAGGCTGGAAGGCCTGGGGTGATGCTACCAAACGTATGTCTCAGCCGACCTAACCTTCCTTTTAGCCCTTATGTGGAGATATACGTATACTCGTATCGAATCGACGAGGATCACTTCTTGATCGTCTCATGAAGAAGACAGTTGATAAGCAGACGCTTCAGGAGGCATTAATTAGTACTTTTCATTATATATTAGATTATTCTGACAATTTATTTGAATCCTTCTGAAACTCCGTACCGTCAACTTTTTCTCATTTTTGACATTTTTTATGAATTATGTTTCTATCAGTTACCATGTGAAAAAAATTACTAGTAATAATACCGACTTCTATGACCCTGTCCCTGTGCTAAAACAATATTGCATTAACCAGCACGAGCAGCATCGATTCATTTCTTAATCCTTGGTAATCCACCATAGAGTAGCTTCTCACCCAGCTCAGTCCGTTCAGTCCGGGACAAAAATATAATCCTTTGATGTGTGAATCGTATATTTGAGATACACATGGTTTAAATACGAACAGACCAGACCACAAAACTTAAAAATTTCTTTTGCCTGTAACCCCTATGGGAGAACCAAAGGCTGTTTATCACGATTCACTATCAAACTCTGTTCTGGGAAATCCTTTTTGGCTGTTTCCAATTGCCATGGATTCTTTCGATGTCTGTTTCAGTCACCGACGTAATATATCCCTTTTTCGTTTCTTCTTTAGGATTCCAAGTGAGAGTTTGCATCGTGATGCAGTTTTGTGATTTCCACAATCTGTGTCCTATACAATTCCAGCGTCTTTCCCTAATTTTCTCTTCAGCTGGAAACTAGATTCTTCTCTTCCACAGTAGGCTGTTGCTAATGATATCCGGCCAACAGACATTCAGTATCTTTTGTGAACAATTGTTTACAAATACCTGTACTACTTTGATGATGATTGTAGTAGTTCTCCAAGTTTCAGCTCCGCATAAAAGAGCTAAATGCTTTGGCGCTTGTATTGAAGATCCTGAATTTGATATTGGTTGACAGACAATCATTTTGAGTTCCATATAGCCTTCAATTGCAGGAATGCGACCAATGCTTTGCCAATCCTCGCCTTTACGTTTGCATCAAATCCTCCTTCTCCATCGATCACGCTGTTCAGGTACGTGGAAGTTTCCGCCTTTTTCAGAGTTTCGCCATCAAGTGTGATGGGGTTGGTGTTTGCCTTGTAGTATTTGAGGATCTTACTTTTTCCGTTGTGAATGTTGAAGCCTTACAATGTAGAGACTGCTTCAACGTTGTTTGTCTTGACTTGCATTTGTTGCAGTGCATGTGATATAAGGGCTTGGTAACCTAAAAAGTCCGGATCGTCTCGCCTCATCCAACCTGTCCACTGTATCCAATCGACCACGAAACGAAAGAAAAAGTGGGAGAGTAGGTGGCGTTGTCTGACTCTGGTTCTCCCTTGGAATGCATTTGTTAGCTGAACTTCATGCCTAGCTTTGCACTATAGTTCGTAGTATGAATTTCATATGATATTGACAATCACTACATATACTCCATAGTGTCAAGGAAGTTTCCGTAAAGTACTCCTATCTAAACTGTTAAATGCTTTCTCATAGTCGAGGAAGTTGATGTATAGTGACGAGCCTCAATCAATTGGTTGTTCAACAATGATCCGTAGTATCGCGATTTGGTCTGTGCACGACTAATCCCTATGGAATCCTGTCCGTTAATGCCAAAGTTGAATGTCTACTAAATCTTTCACCTGCTTCAGCAACACTATTGTAAATATTTCCTGGTACCGGTAATAAGGTGATTCCTATGTAGTTCTTTTATTTGCCGTGATCTCCTTTCCGTGGTATCTTGATGAGGCGTTCTTCTTTGCTATCTGCCGGTACTTGTTCCCCCTCCCAAATCTTTCTCAATAGAATGTGGAGCATACTTGATGTCACTTCTGTATCTGACTTCAGTGCTTCAGCTGACATATTATCAGGTCCCGTTGATTTCCCAATCTCGATTTGTCTAGTAGCCATTCTTCGATGGTTGGTGGATAAATACCTGTAGGAAGGTCTATATGTGTTTCTTCGAAGTCCTATGGGTTTATTGAAGCTGGCCTATTCAAGAGTTCCTCAAGATGTTCTGCCCGTCTGTTCCGCTGTAGGCTTGCCTTCTTCGTTCTTGAGTGATCTCACTAGTTTACTAGATTTCTCTGTCAATTTCTTTGTTGTGTCATATTTCCTTATCTTGCAGAGTTTTCCACTGTCGTCGCTAGATCTTCCACGTATTTCTGTATATCGTCTCTTATGCTCTTCCTCACACCCTTGTTTACTTCGGTGTATTCGGCCTGTGCCTTGAATTTTCCTACTCGCATTCGGCTGTTGTTGATTGCTGTCTTCTTGTTCTTGGTTCCTTGAATCTTGTCCAGGGTTTCGACAGAGATACATTCCTTATGATGACACTTCTCACGGCCCAGAATCTCAAGACACGTTGAAGTTGATGTTTCTTTGATCTCCTTCCAGTTTTTACCTGCCATAATTTCTTCTTCTTTCAGTAGATCCTGTAAGGCTTGGAACCTGTTGTTGAGAGCTATCTGGAATTCTTTGAGTTTGACAGTATGTCGAAGGAAGGCTGTATTGAACCTTTGTAATGCTGTTTGCCGAGTTGTCCAATGCTTCATTAGCTTCAGTTTCATCTTAGCCGCAACCAGCCGATGATCTGAAGCTATTTCACCTTCTCTTTTCGTCCTCACGTCTTCCGTCGACCTTCCGAATTTTTAATGGATGCAGATGTGGTTGATCTGGTTCTTCGTGGCACGATCCCGTGAAACCCATGCAGCTTTGTGCATGTATTCGTGAGGTAATATTGTGCTGCCTTTAACTTCAATCCCATTAGCCAACTGATTGATCATTTGGTTTACGCTTGAAAAACAGACACTTGGGTTGTTTCTCAGTCCGTGTGAGGGGGCCGTAATCGCAAGAGAGTGGTTGTGTACTTTCTCTCTACTCTGACTACCGATTAGTTCACCTACATTCCCAGTGAAATCGGTGACTTTATATCCACCGATTAATACATCGGTCAATAAACATCAATCAACGCTCTATAATTTATTGATCTGAAGCTTCTTCTTACCCAGTGGCTAGTCAAAAGACGAAGATGAAGGGCAGATCGGTTTTCTGTCGTACTGAATTCAATTTTGACCTAAAACTCACGCAATAATGCACTTGAAATGTCTGACTACATGACAACACGTTTAGAAAATCATGGTTTGTACAAGACCAGAGTGATAAGTTAATAGTTAGCAAAAATTAGTCTGGGATATTAATAAATACGACAATAATTTACGGATTAAACGAAAGCCTAGGAATAGAAAAATACAAGAGCACCACGATCCAAAATTATTTGTGGTTAGTTGTTATGTTCTCTACTTGAATACGCACGAACACTATATAACTGAGGACACTCGAACGTTAGAACCTCCAAACCCTCGCAAGTAAGAAGACGAAAGACGTTTGAGAGCACTTATTTGACAAGAATCAAAATATACAATAAAACATGCGTATTTATACAATTATATATAATCAATATTGCCATAGAAGTTTTTTAAACATTAATCGATAACTTGTAGAATTATGGTCTACTATGATATTAGCACTGCTCTAATAATAGACCTAATCCTAAAATTGTAGATTTATCATGATGTAATTTCCTAATCTATAAGATCTTACGTGGAAGTTACACCATCGTCTACACCGATTCATTGCATTGTAACGATTACCAATAAGTGATAGAGAACAAGCTTAGGCTAGAGATAGAATATATTTAATATGAATAGAAGATACAAGATAACATTCAGCTGGGACCACGCCTGCAAGGCCGAGCAATGCCACCTGACCAACTCGTATTAATTCAATTCACTGTTCCCGCCTTTCTTCATTGTTCGGTATTTCCCAGCGTTAAATGTTGAATGCCTATTTTTCGTATTGTCTTGTGTTAGGGCCCAATGCCACTACACTACTCTCCCACCAGAATCAACGTGACGTTGCTTCGATACCAATTTGAGTGGGGTTTATCGCGCGCCGGAGGTTACCAAGAATGATAAGAATCCTCCGGGTATTGATAAGCTGAAAGATAAATCAAAAAGAACGAGGCAGAATCTGGTCGGGAAATACATATATATATATATATCAATTTGAAAACACCTAACACGATTAAAATGAAAATTTAGGTAAAGATTATTTGAGCTAAACAAAGTGGGATTATAATAATAAAATGATTCAGTATAAGTATATTTTAATAAAGTGCCGTAAGATACGTAGTGATATCCGTAGGTTAATAACATTTCCTGTTTAGGAATATTAAAAACAGCCAATATTAGAGAAATGTTAAAAGTTGTATTATATTTGGCCTAAATTATGAAATCAAATAACGTATGTGCCGGTAAGTTGTCCATGCGTTGATTTCCAGTTGCATCTGTATTAGTAGGCTAACTGAAAGAACAAAAGTATAAGCGCGGAGAATTCCAACTAGTGTTCCAGTTAGTTTGATACGGTTTATTTAGTTATGGGGAGATTTTCTCGACCTCACTTTTACTTGATCCTGATAGAATTTAGTAATACAACTAATACATATGAATTGTTATCAAAAATTTTTAAATACGTGAAAAGTAATAATTATGTGGATTTTGGACAGATAGATAAGAGCGATTCGTTAAACATGAGTGTATCCGTTAGAGATATGCTCTAGACTCAATGTTCTGATTTGCCATAGACTATTTATTTATGTTCATACCTATCGGCTGATGGTACATACAAGTTAGTTGCAAGTGCCAGTTTAGTATAAGACGGAATGCTATT